TCGAGTATCGAATATTTTCCTTAGTATCCGTATCGAGTTGAAAAGGAAGGAAGGGAAATCTGATTGGCGACTGCATGATAGTTACTGGTAGCACTCTATGCTTTGCAAGATCCTTGGTTCAAATTCCTGGTTGCAACCTTTTCTTAGCATCTTCCTTGCATGCATGAGTGGGTTAGCTCCTCCAAAAATATGCATGTTGGGTTATTGCTCAGTGTAAACTGTCCTTTGTGTGAGTCTGTCCAATGTGTGTTTGTGATAAGATGGGAATAATTATTTAATTTCACCTGTGAAGACACCGTTGTAGTAATTACTTAAATTATGTTTTGTGACCAGCAACAGGTGGGGGAAGGGTCAGCTCACTTACTTAATGGTTTACAGTTGAAGAAAACTGGTCACTTTGGTCTCAAACGCTTTTGAACCTGCAGCAATGTTTCATTGCTCTGTTGTTCTGGTCACATAAAAAACACACCTTAGATCATCAGGAGAACCAAATCAATGAATCCACTTTATTATACTTTTCTGAAATTATTAGATAGCAGAAACATGTGCACTGGTTTTAATTGTTCCAACTTAAATGTAATATCAAAGCGATGATGAATTTAACTCCTTTTTGCGTAATTCTTCCTACAATACCGCCGAGCTGATTTTTTTTTTTTTTACTTGGTTTTATTTTTCTTTGCTCAGTTTGCTGCCTTAATGCAGCGTTTAATTGCTCTCTTCATTGTCATTCATAGCTTTGTTTATACATCAGAGGCTGATTAATTGGTTATAAATGTAGCACCACTGCAGGGGTTTCTTGTGGTTTTCCTCAGGCAGAGTAATCAGAAGTGATCTTTTCATAAGAAGCGGGAAAATCTTGGTTACAGCATAAAAGAGGGGAAGAAAAAAAAAATTGTCTCAGACAAAAAGAGTTGGTTAAGCGGATGGCCCCAAGCAATGAGAGAAAGGCTTTGATGAAAAATGATCTGTCATGATAAAAGACAGTTTAGCTTATTTCTATCCCATGAGGTAAGATTCTTCTGTATAAAGCAGGGGATGCTGACAGAAGGCTCTTGTGTTTTACAGAAATGTGTGTGAGAATCATTTAAGCTAAGCAAATGTAATGCATTACTTTTTTTTTTCTTCTTCTGTCTTCCAGCCCGCTGTTTGTCACATGGAAAATAGGCAGAGACAAACGGTTGAGGGGTTGTATAGGTACATTTTCTGCCATGAATCTGCACTCAGGACTCAGGGAGTACACCCTTACCAGGTAAGCTTGAAAAGCCAGAAAAAAAAAAGATTCCTTACTGAATTAGACAGATGATATGTGGGGTTTTTGGTCAAATGTGTTAAACTGGATAAAGGGCAACAAAACCAAAGACGTTTCACCTTCTTTTAAGGCTTAAGTTTTCTTCATGCTGAGTAGAATCAGCAGCCTCTTTAGGGCTGAGCACCATGACCATACTGTTGCTGTGATGAATAATACCATCAGGGATCGTCTCCTCTCCCACATTCTTTCTGCAGCACTGCATCACCAAACATACAGTTAAGGACAATTATCTTCAGCACAATGGATCCTGTGCCAGATGGCGTGGGGCCCCCTCAGAGGCCTGATCTCTACTAGATGAAGTCAGTTTGTCAGTCACTCTATAGAAACGTGAAATAATCTCATTTGGACATAATCAGCCTGTAAAACGTTACACTTGATCGTTTTTATTTTCGGTTTGAAAGAAGAGGCCTTGAAGCATTCAAACTGGGCCTTTTCACAACTAAGTCTTATGATTGTTTCTTTTGTGGAGTCCCATTTTTTTTATTTTTTTTTATTACTTTTTAAAACATCCAATTTTCCCTGCAGATGTATGTGAGTTTTGGATTAGCTGTGCACATGGCCGCCTGCGTGCACTGTCACTTCCATGTAGGTCGATCTGCAGACTTGCCGGGTTCCAAATTAACACCAGCTCAGAGCCAAATGCTGATAATATGGCAAGAGAAGATGTGTGGCCTGCTAAGTAGCTTCAAGCTAAAGGCCCTTTAATCTTTTATGTTATAATCCTTCTCAATTGAAAGTGTATGATCCTCCTTCACTGCCAACCCTGCAGAGATAGCAGGAAATGGGATAAGATCAGCACGGCACCCGGGGGTTAATTGGCTTCCCGGAGATTTTCAGTGGTTTTGGGATCATATTGGGGCGCCATGTTATGTTATGGGTGTGGAATCAACATTCTTTTGACGCCTCAAACCTGAATTAAACATTCGTCTTCTTTGCACATCTATCAGTCCTTCAGATGCTCTGATAAAGCTTGATTAGTTGTGGAGGAAATGGAGGAAACTTCTTTTAAAAGCTGGACTTTTTTCAACTTGAAGCGGTGCAGCTGTTAAGCACTTTGTTTTCTTTAAATGTTTAAAGAATTCTTTTATCCGACTTTTAAATGTGAAGGTGCATTATTCATCACTTCGTTTGTTCCCATTAAGTCCCACACACAACGATCAAACAATTAAACTGTTCAAACACTGACTTATAGTGGCTTTTATCTGTATCCTGCTCTAATGCTCGTGCTTTTTTTTTTATCTTCGTCTGCAGTGCCCTTAAAGACAGCCGCTTCCCCCCTATGACAAGGGATGAGCTGCCTCGCCTCTTCTGCTCAGTGTCTCTTCTCACCAACTTTGAAGACGTCGGTGATTACCTTGACTGGGAGGTGGGTGGTTTCGCAAAGCCATTGGTTCACATTTCTGAGAGCTTTTTCTGAAGCTAATTGCTTGAGGTTATTCTGTGGTAAGTCTTGTGAAATGCCAAAACATAAAGCAATATACATAACCAATGCCTTACAACAAAAAAACAAAAAAAAAACCACATCAACTTAAGCCAATGCCTGTTTTATTTATTGGGATTTTATTGGAACCAACAGATCCATGCATTTTGTTTGCATTATTTTGAAGTGGGAGGAAAGTAACATGTTTTTTTTTGTTAAATACTCAAAGTATAGTAAGAAGTATTTAGTCCTGTTGGAATTAATGATATTCAGCAGTAATCCATGAGGTAGAGAGTCCCCATGTCTGTAATGATAATAATAAAAAACAGACAGATTTACATCAGAGTTCTATTACAGTTCTTAAATTCAGTTAAAAAGCTGTTGCAAGTGAACCTACATTCATTGTCCGATCCAATGCTTTGCTGCTAAGAATCAGTAATATTCTTTTGATAATTAAAGACTTTCAGCTTTAATTAAAAAGTTTTGAAAGCACCATTCTTTAAGATTTTTCTTCTACCAAGTCTGAAATCTACAAATCACTTTCTTTCCACTTCTTGTACCCTCCCTATATGTCGTTCGCATAAAAACTCAAAACACATAATACTTTGTGGTTGTAATGTGATACATTATAAATCATACGAATTATACGATAAAAGAAAGGTTAGAAACACATGCTAATGCATTCAATTTCTATTGTCTATTCATTAGAATCCATACACTCAGTTTGTTTCCCTCAGGTGGTGTTTTAGCAACTCATTTTTTGATGCAACTGTCTTGTTGTCTTTTGCCTCCCTTTGCTTCTAGGTGGGTGTTCATGGTATAAGGATAGAGTTTTTCAATGAAAAAGGATCAAAGCGTACCGCCACCTACCTACCAGAGGTTGCAAAGGAGCAAGGTCAGCTTTTTTTGCCTGTAAAGTGGATTCATTATGCAAAATTAACTTTTTGTAAATTCTTAACTTCTATTTGGCTTCTCGATATGTCAGTGTTGATTAAAAAAAGTTTTCTTTTGCATTATGTAATGTTTAGTTAGTGACTAAAGCAAGCGGTTTCAAAAATGTCACAATGGCGTCCAAAATCATTGGACTCGCCCCTAGTCTTGCAACACTAGCTAACTAAAATGATAGCATGAATACAAAATATAACGCATTTACCTTAAAGTTATGATTATTATTGTTATAAACCACATACCCAACATTACCATTATGACGTGCCGAAAATGGGAGAAAAAAAAAATCACAGAACGGCTTAAAAGAACTAGTGGTTAGCATGATGCTAATTGGTATTAAAAATTCTATAAAAATGCTAGTCACCATGGTTTCATTTTTTCCCCTAACTTAAAATAACGAAAATGTCTCCAAGTAGCATCTGACTGAAACAAATAGCAGGGTTTTCATGGTCATTAAAAGTCATTAAATAATTTTTTTAATTAAGGCTTGAATTGGCATTAAAATGCATTAAATGTGATTATTAATGGAATTTAAAATGCTTTATTTAGAAAAAAATATATTAAATGATATATATATTTGCAAATATGCAAATATATTGCTAAATATATTTGCATATTTGCATGGAACTGCTTCCGGTTGAAAAGAAGCTCAAGGCGGAGAAAAGGCTAGAGAATGGGAAAAAGTATTTCAACAACAGTGTCTGGAAATCGAGGAACTGCTGAGGGTAAAGATGAAGAAGGAATTTGCCGTGTATAAATGACAGTCATGGCTACTTGTTGATGGCATTAAAATTATTTCTAAGAGCATTAAAAGAGAATTAAAAAGCATTAAATTAGAGTTGCTCATTCATGTATAAACCCTGAATAGAAACCAATAGAAACGTGGCTGTATGCATTGCTCTGGAAACTTCTACGCTTGTCCTGTAGAAATAGGACTTGCTTAACATTTAGGAGCCGCTTCTTTAGCTTCTGGATCTGACTTGTGGTCAAAGATGTACAATTCACCATTGTGCATAAAAGAGACGGAGCCAAAAGACTGAAACAAACTGAATGAGTTTAAGCTAAAAAAAATGGTAATGGATTGTTTTTTGTTTTTTTCAGGCCAATGACCTCTCCTAACTTGTTTAAAATTATGCATAATAGCCCCCCTATAGCACAGCTGTGCATGAAAACATACTCACACATGTGCTATTCTTTTTCTTTCTAGGTTGGGACCACATTCAAACCATAGATTCCTTACTACGAAAGGGAGGCTACAAAGCTCCCATCACAAATGACTTCAGGAAGACCATTAAGTTAACCAGGTATGATTTGAACCTACCTTATCAACAATATTTGTGTCAATGTGTTCTTTATCACCCAGATGCTTAACATTTTCAACTAAATAAATCTCGATTGCAGTGTAAATTGTAGTTGATGATAAAGCTGATTGATTTGTTTCTTTAATGCAGACAAAAACTTAGATAAAATCATCTTACCTGCAAGAGTTGCTTGCATGAAACGGAGCCATGGAGATAGGAGAGTTACAACAGTTAGCTGAGCATGCTAGCAGTGCTATTTATCAGAGCATGGATACTTCTATGGTGTTACTTTTTGGAAAAGTTTAGCAGTTCTAAGGAATTAGGGTTTACATGATCTGCTCAGTGGCTCAGGCACCAGTGGAAGTTGGTTTCTTTTTTTCCCCTTAAATTGAACCAATTTGGGAAACTTTACGTGGCTTTTAAAGCTAACATTGTGCAAAAATAATTAAGTGCGCTACATTTAGTACATAGAAAATAATATTTAGGTTGCTTTGTTTGTCTTTGATCATGTAAACAAAATTGAACATCTATAAACATTACATGTGAGTCAGACCCCAGATTAAAATATACACACGGCTAGCAGAACTATTATATAGAGTAAAACCTCTCAATAGGCAAGCTTTTTTCGAACGGTTGTGTATTTTGTGAAATGATTATCAAAAGTATCACGTCTATCGCTGATCTACATGTATTTTACACGGCTGAACTATTGCACGCCCTCGCAACCTAACTAGTGAAAGGACGGTTAAGATAGGCTGCAAGAATGAGCCCAAAAATATCCAGGTTTTGTTAGGCTAATATTTAAATAATCTGTATTGGTTGTAAAAGACTTGCATCAGTTGATGATGACTGAACGTCATCAGTGAAGAAACACTTAATGATAGACTGTAATGTATTGAAATATTGGGAAAAGTTTTAAAGGTGTCATATTATAACACATTTGAAAATAAATATTAACAGTGAGGCCTCCAGAGCATGTTTCTAATGTTTAAACAGGAAAATTCCTGTCAGATTGGGCAGACAGAGTGTGACCAATAACCTCCCCATTCATACCTCTTCTAAACAACCTGTTTTGGCTTTAAATGCCTTCATAATGATGACGGCTGAACAACGGCGTCGATACCTAATCCATACAGGAAGCACATACCATCAGCTCCTTTGCACAACCAGATATACATCCGGGTCGCCCTCGATTTTATTTTGTGAAAAAAGACCTAAATTACATTTTTCTCTCCCCAAAAATGGTAAGCATACTAAACTATAATGTAAATTATATTATTATATAATTAAAGGTTAATAATTTATTTCCTGAGGAAATGGCTATCTTAAAATCCTTTCTGTTTTTTCACTCATCTGTGCCCGATCTGCATAGGAAATGGGATCCTACGCTACTTCCAGGAGCTAACTTTTTTCGCTTTGGATTTAAACAAAAATCTACTCTTTTTGAGTTTTATTTTTTCCTTTCCTGTTAACATTATGGTGAATAGTGTGTAACCTAAGGAAAGAAACAACTAAAATGCAGATAAACATGGTTTAATCATACTACTACTCAGAGCAAGTCCGATGATGAAGTCACACAAGCAGTTTTCAAGAGAATATGTAAAAAGCATAAACATTGTCTCAGAAAAATCCTAAAATGTTTTTTAAAGATATGTATTAATGTTATTTCGTGAGTTAAGATTAGGAATAAGTCATTTCAGCACCATAATTACATGAATGAAACGGATATATATCTGGTTGCACATGCGCAAATGAGCTGTTCGTACGGATCGTGCTTTCGGTTTGGATCGAGTAGTTACAAGCGGAATGATACAGAAGACAAAGACCAACCATAACCGTTAAGTTGGTACAGAAAGCACACAATATGAGCAGCTTGATCACAAACCACTCATTGCCATTAATTTATTATGTTAATTATGATCGGAAATACAGGCAAGTCTCTCTAATTATCTCAACACAGAGCATGCCTTCTGAATATAGAACAATCCCATTTTCAAGCAACCAAACAACCTTTCAATAAAATAAACAGGTAGCCAGTTAGCCTGAGCTGCTATGGCCCCTATGTGCAGTGATGAACTAACCAAGTTGCTACTAACAAGAACTAATTTAACGCAACCACACAATCAGAATTACTGCAGATATCATGTTAGGAAAACACTGTTTGTGAAGCACAAAGATTATCCACCTTATTTAAAAACCTGCTTAAAAAAACAGCCGAGGACACAAACGTTAGCTGCAGTGCTAACGTGTTTACAGGTTGAGCAGTCCAACACATTAAAGTCATGTCCAGCTCTTACCTACACAGCTTTGTAATGGACAGTTGGTATCGATTTACTCTTCAATTTAAAGAATGTGGAGAAGCCTGCTTGTGAACACCCATTTTGTGAAGCACTCCTCTCTGAAATGCTTTAGCTTAAGCATCCATCCTCTGAGTGGTTTTTATTTTGAGCACACAATAACTAAGAGGTGGAACAATGCGGGCAGAGAGGGGGAAATGGAACCTTTTATACGGGGCTTCAGCACACATGTGACTGTTCGAAACTGTTTCTAAATTGAATTTAGCATAATATGGGACCTGTAAGATACATATCACCTATATTGAATGAAATTATACTCTAATATATATTCATATTGAATTATTGTCCACCCTTAATTGTGCAGAAAGATAATTGGCTACATTTTTAAGTCCCGTCTTAGGCCTTGTTTGCACACATTTTTATTTATTTCGTTAAACAAAAAAATGTTTCTACTGCTCTTGCAAAATGTTTCTGGAAGAAAAAAAAGGCACATTTTGAACACTGATTACATAGTCTCCTTCTTGTTGTCAAACTTGCCGGACTGTCTTGATTTCTGTTGAAATGTTCAGCTTGGAACCAAACATTGATCCTGCCTTTTATGTACAGTTCAGTCAGGTGGTCTTTGTGTGGGAGTAGTGTTATATTTGTGTGCACGTTTAGTTAAAATGAAACATACCTACTAGTTGCAACGTTTTCGGGTGTGTAGAAATGTCACTTACACATTTTGTTGATGGAGATAGAAAAAAGATCATGTTTGCACAGGAACATTGTTGTTTAATAATGCTGTCTTATTTTTTTTAGCTCACCCCAAAGGTCTTATACTCATTCTAACTTGGTGATCTTTGTTCTTTGAGCCCCCAGTTTGATAAATAGATGGAATAAGGAGCCCCTTTCTTTAATTTCCATTTGAAAATGTACAGCAAAAATATATTCAAGTAATTCTACAGTTAACAGGTCTCAATGCAAACTTTTGCTACCTGTGTTCAGGTAGTGTATAAAAGTATAATGTTCTAGTGAAAGCAATAGTGCAGATGTTACCGTGGGGTTAAAACTAACCTGGTCCAGTATGACTTATAATGAATAAAACATTAACCTTTTGAATTTAACGGCAATAAATGGCCTGCGGTGACCCATCTTAAGGCTCCACCAAAAAGTGCATTGTGGACATTTTGTGCATTGGAACACCGATGCTTCTCAGAGGACAGACTGAGCTTTCTCTCTCTCTGCTCTTTCAGGTACCATAGTGAGAAGATGACGATGGGTTATGCAGAGTACATCGCCCATCGCCAGCACCACCACTACCAGAACGGCATCGGGCACCCGGTGCCGTCGTATAACCATTATTCCTGACAGCGAGCCGCATGACCAATCATTGGACCTCTCCGCTGACCTATTCCCAGGAGAGCCCGCCCCCTCCTGGTCTAGCTATTTCTACTACTGTACCATTTTATGATGATAGTTTCCGTTGCCATGCTGGCCGTCTCACAGACGTTGACATGGCAACGGGTGGCAAGGAAGCATCATTTGATTATGGCAAAAAGCCATGTTTTTCCCTTTTGTTTGCCTGTGGTTGAGCTTTTGCAGCATATGTATACCAATATCTTTAACCCCCCCCTCGCTCATTTTATTTGGAAAATAAACCAACGTTAAACTATTATTTTTGCATCCTTTTAGCAGACCTAACCATTTATATGATTCTGTGGATGGAAGCAAGTCTCCTTGGGCGGATTTAGGCTTTGCTCCAATTATACATTTACTAACACATTTATATTTTCTTCTTCTGTGTTCTGTTTCATCCTTTATCCTTTACTATCCAGGCGTTTAATATCATGTAGCAAAGGCAACTGCAGTTTAAAAGGCTGTGTCATCATTTATTTCAATTCCTCTCAAAAACTTGACAGCTGAGGTCGCTTTAGCCTTGTAAACTCTCGTAGTTTCATAGTTTGGAAATGTATCAGGATTTATGTGTATTCCAAAGTGTAGATAGGATTGTGGCGCCTTTCGGGCAGCCTGTTGCTGACGCCGTTTATTGATTTGAGTCATAATCGAGTGTATTTGTGCGTTTCGCCATGTGTGGATTATAGGCATCGCTTTGTCACAAGAAAACTAGTAGAATAAATCAGAAATTGAGTTTTTGCGTAAAGTTTAGTCAGTGGATGGGAAAAAAAAAAAAGAAACGTTAGATTTCAACTTCTTTTTTGAAACTAGATTTGGTTTATTGTGTTGGAGGAAAAAAGTCAAGGAGGCGATGGAGAGAAATTTTTTTTTTTTCTTTTACTGTCAGGGAAGTGTTTAAAAAAGTTAAAGCCATATTCCATATTCCACTTTTTGTCAGTTATTGCAAGCATTTGGTGCTGAGATATTCCACTCTGTTCATTCGCTCCTGATGTCTTTAGGAAGAGGTTATAGGTGATGTCACGCATGACGATGTGAGTTGATCAAATGTTTGTGTCATTTAGAACTGCGTGTAAATCAAGTGAGTGAAACCCGGAGCGGTCGACTGACTATTTAGGATCGTCCAACCGGCGCCGCAACCGTTCTCTTCCCTCTCCCAGTGAGATCCGTTGATCCGTGTGTCTGCAGGACAGGGAATGTTCTATTTTGTGGTCTTTTTGGTCCGAAGGTTACAGATCAGCAGTTGTCTATGTCATATATATATATAAAAAAGATCTTTCTTAGGTCGTATAAAGCCAGTCCTTATCCAAATATTATCCAGGTGGGAGTTAGACCAACACGCGCTCTGCTAGTTAGACGTACTTTAACGAATGTTTGATCCGCTGAGGATCACCACGTTATCGTTCTGCTCGTTTTTTGTTTTCCGTTACAAACTGGAATTTTTTGAGAGGGTCTTGTTACTTGACCGACGTCTTGTGTCGTAACAGCCTTTTACTAACTGACAGGCTCTTTTTTTCTTTATGCAAAAATGTCAAGGGCTTTTGGCACTCCATCCACAGTCACCCAGAAATATCCCAGACTTCAGTTGTGTTGCCTTAAACGATTTTTTTAAACGATGGGCCAGGAGAAAGACGCTGAGTGTTCCTCTCCTTTCTCAGCTACTTGAACGCCACACTTAGTAGAGATGAGGGGGGGCTACCAAATCAGGCGTCAGACGCTTTTTCTTCAACATACGGTAGATGCAGCGCGCCGGTTGCTCATATCCTACGCATGGTTTTCTCATGTAACCGTTAAAAGGAAATGCTATCTTACACTACAGGAGAAGGGACAGTCAGGCGTCTGCTTTCCTGGTCCATTAACTACAGCACAACCTGAATTTCTCTGCTGCAAAACCAAATTGACCATGCTCTTTTACATATATGTCTTTGTATACACATGCAATGTATTTAGTTGCATGTATGTATGAATATGAGACCTATGGTTTTTATCCATGATATGCTTGATCTATGGCTTAGACACTCTTATTAACCATTAAGAGATTTAAAAGACAAATATGGTGCTATCGGACCTCATATTGGGGTGGTCACATCTCGTGACTGGTCATGCGGACTCATTGATCATATCATATACTTAAAGATGCGACATGTAAGATTTTCTCTGTTAGTACCTTGCTGTGAACCAAGTGGCGTTTTATTACCGAAGGACGACTCGGAACGCGAACAGCCCTGGAAATCAGCTCATTTGTGATGGTGAACGTGGGCGACATGGGGATCAATTCCATACTGGAAAACAAAACGACATTCTGTCTTATGATGAAGAAAGACTCCTCCAGGGCTATGGAATGTACTGTTAATGGTAGAGCAACTTAACAGTGAATCTGTCATAGGAGAAAATCCTACATGTTTACCTTTTACAATCCTTGAAATATGCAGATCTGTTCAACAGGTGTTTTTTTGTTGTTTTTATTTCTATTTTATTTTTTTCCTAACAGTGCAAGTCAACACTGTGCAGGTTTGAAAGGACAAGAAGTCACACACTTACCTCCTGTCCCCGGTTACTCCCTTCACTGTGGCCCAACCTCATGGCCTAGTTTGTCAAAGTTTGATGCATGTCGTTCACTGGCATATGGTGGGAAGATCCGAGGTTCCTGGTCTATTTTTTTTTGTTGTTTTTTAAAGCTGCTGAATCAACTAACCTCTTCTCAAAGGGCAACATTTACGTTGTTTACCTTGTATGAGGTCCTGTTGCTAAGGCCGTTTGAGCGCCTCTTTAAACCTTACTGAAGGGCAGCATCACCTCTACAGAGATGACTTTTTTTTTGTTGTGTAAACGGAAAATACCCCAACAGTTGGAAGCATTGATACCTCAAGGAATCGTAAGGAACGACATTGGTAGACTGTTGTAGCAGATCGTGTGTTTTGGTTCCATACCTGGGTTTGGAGTTCAGCCTCTGCATTCCTCGTGCGGTCATCCTCATGTCGCACGGAGTGCTCTAGCTCTAGTTACCTTCGTATGTTCGACTGAACCAAAGATGCCAGCGGCCATGCCCAAATGCTGCTTTTTTTTTTTTTTCTAGGCCTGGCTTCCTGTCCTTCCAAAAAGAAAAACAAAAAAAACCAATCCCTGCTCATGATTAACTTTTTTTTTTCTTGTGTGTGTGATTTCTGACTTAAGCAGCCCAGTTTCTCAATGATTTTTCATTGATTCTGTCTCTGAGGCCGTTAATGGCATCAAGACGGTGAAATTGGATGCAAATTGTTGTTACTTGTTTTGTTATTAGTATTATTATTATTGCTATAATTTTTCAAAAAGGAAAAAAAGAAAATCCCATGGTGTGCCTCCTAGCTTTATGGGTTTATAACTGTTTTTTTTTTTCTTTTCTTTTTTCCCTAAAGACCAGCAGTTATACTTTGTATAAAAAGACGGATTTTGTTCCTTATTTTTTATGCCATTAAAAATGAAAAAGCCTGTTTTTCTTTACTCGACCCAGTAGCTGCACTGGTATACAATCGCACTGATAGAATTATGAAAAAAAAATGAATCAATAATAATAATGATAATGACAAATAAGAACTACAATAAACTTGTGTTTGAAGCTTTTATTATTAAAAAAAAAAGTAAAAAAACAAAAGACAATAAAAAAATGACTGTTTTTGTACATCAAAATAAATTTTTTTCAAAGGAATATTTTGGATCTAGTTTCAAACTTATTTTAGTGGTTTTCTATGTTCTGAGAATTTTGAGACACACTTCTAAGACGTGTCGCTGTACAAAATGACTTTCTGTTGCAGTGGCCTGATGGGCTGGGAGGGTTACCTGGTGTAACTCCTCATACCAACTTTTATTTCCTTTGTCAATTTTTGGAACTTATTTTTTTTCTCTCTCTGCTTTAGTACTCTGAAGAAAAAAAAAACTTGATGGAAAAATATGAATTGGGAACTTTGATTCCATCCCTGTAGAGCTAGACCCCTCCTTCTTTCCCAAATGAATTGCTGTTAGTGTGATGGGACTTGGAAATGGGCATTTATGATGGTATGACTCCTAAAGGAGTAAATCTTAAAAAGAAAATAAATTGTGAAGAAGACTGATAAAAAAAATTCTATATATATCGATTGGTTATCTGTAAGCAATGGATGTGAAGATAATGTAGTTTTAAACATTGTTACCTTTTAAGATCATTTATTCAATAAAAAAAACGACTCAAACTCGGTTAAACGTGTCTTCTTGTCTTACAGCACATCTGCCATGAGATGAGGACAGGTTTACTTTATTTTAGTTTAACTGTGACTGACAGGAACAAAGACATTTATTGGTTTAATCGGGTCTGAGGATTAGAGGTAGATGCATGAAAGATGTAGAGCAATGATTCCTGTTGCACCAAAAAACAAAATACTTATTTTAATCAGAGTATAACTTCAAGACCGTTAAGCTCCTGCTGTATTAATCAGTTTCAGCTGTTTCTTTTTTTAATTTAGGGATGAGCTTCCTATGAAGAGACCCCAGGGCAGGAAGGGCCACACCTCTACTGGAATAGCACATCTTTATAAGCTGTTGCCAGGTTTGCTGCATCCCACAACTCAGTCTCAATAGCAAGGTCTCTAGAGTTTCCAACCCATCAGAAGGACCCTCTCTTTTATTTGCCAAAGAACATTGGAAACGTAACGCTTTACTCTGGTTAAACACAAAAAAAGGATTTTTACCCTTCAACTTTTTGACATGACTGAATAAATTTAACCAGACCCTTCAAAGAGGTTGTGATGCTGGGCATAGTGTATTACATCCAATTACCGAACCGTTGGATCTACCCACTCATTGGTTTGCCATCTAACAATTTGGAAGATAAAATAACCACAAGAAAGAGATGGATTTTTATTACATTGGTTAGTCAGGAGACTTGTTCTGTTTCATTTCTACAGCAAATACTGATGTGAGAGAACAAAACTTAGGAGACGAAGAAAACTGAACATTTTCAACCAAATGAAAAAGAAAAACTTTTTGAAAATATTTTTTCTTGACAAAATGCTTTGATATATTTTAAAGCGACATGAATTGGACTCTAGTGCCTTTTTTCATCTTAACGTGATAAAATGGACAAATCTTAAAAACAGAGTAAGTTTATGAAGTTAAATTCATAAATAAAATTATATATATATAAAGTTGTAGTTCTTTATACCTTGAAAGGAACAAGATGTCCAAAGTCATTATTTATTAATTTTGTATTTACCTTTTAACTTATTCCAATGCATTAATCTTCAATGTGGAAGTCCGTGATACAGTTTTTTATACACCGATATATTTCAAGTATTTTATTCATTCCACATACCAATAAAAAAAAAGTTTTTGTTTAATGCAGAAATGTGATGTAAGCCACTAAAATGTATTGCTTCAGAAGATGGTCTGTCTGCAAGTTTATCTCTGCCATAAATATGAGCTAAAGTTTTGACCTGAGAAACACAAAAGTTTTGATAATATTTCTAACTTACTGAGAAGCGCATGTTTTACTTTATCCTTTTTCTGATTTCTGTACATTAAGCCAACAAAGTGATTTCCTGACCTGGCAGCTCGTTTCATCAGAAGACAATCAGATTTGTAAGAAATGTTTAGAGGGAATTGTGTCTATACATAGGCTTACAATGGAAATATTAGTCTTAAATAAGTAGGTTTTAAAGGAGAACAAACAGGAAGGAAAAAGGACACAAAGAAAAGTTTGGCCACTGGAAATCCCTTTTATTGTTGCCATAGTACTTACATAGTTGAAATGAAAGAGGTACAAAGGTTTCGTTTCTCCCTTCTTGATAGTAAAAAGAAGAAAATGCTACAGTTATACACAGCCCTCACACTCGAGATAAAATCTATAAAACCTTTTAATGAACAGCTGTTCATTACGTGACCCATGGAGCATTTGAACATTTTATGCAGGATTTGTTACAGTTGAAGTGAATGCAGGATGTTTTTCAAACAAATACTTGACAGTTAAGCAAGTTTCCTTCAGTTGCTGCAGACATATAGGACCTGGCAAAAGTATTCACACCGCTTGTATTTGTTAACTCTTGCATTTTTGTCACATAATGCCAAATTGTGATGTATATTTATTGGATTTTTATGTAGTAGCCCAAAGTGACTGAGAAATTGGACCGGAAGATGGATTTAAGTAACTAATCAAATAAAGTTGGTTTCCCTAGATTCTGTTCAGGGGATCAGAATACAGGAAACTGCAGGAAATAAAAGATAAACAAAAAAAAAAGAATTAAAAGAAAGAAAGTTGCATCCATGACACCTTTTTTCATAAATACTTTTCTGTGTGTTGGTCTTTCAATAAAAATTCCATAAAAACAATAAAATTTGCAGGTTGTAACATAATAAAGATAAGGTGGGAATAAATACTTTTACAAGGTGCTCCAGTTCCACCTGAGACATTCATTCTGCCTCATATTGGCAACATTATTTATCCTAACAAAGTCAAACAACACAAAAACACAGACAGCTAAAACTCAACAACCCAGATTGCATCCATTCATTCCTCATTTATCGCCTTCACTTCCAGCATATATTAGGTCCTCATATCTACTGATTAACATCACTGGAATGTGCTGGACAGGCTGGAGACTGACAGGTAAAAGCAGTTTAAAAACTATATTTCCCATTCTGAACTCTTAGCCCCCCCCACATTAAAAGAACATTTAAATTCTTGCTTCAGAAAGAAGCAGGAAATTTTAAAACAGCTCACATTTATCTGCTCCAAAGCACACTTGAGACAAATAAAAACAACACTAAAATAAGAGCTTAACTAAATTCATAGGGAACTAAAAAGCAGCGCCTTACAGACAGCAGGTGATGTTCAGCTTCGCATTTCCACGTTTCGGTCCTTAAAACGTTTACATTTAGAACAAACCTGGATGAAAACTGGATTCCCATAAAACACGCGGCCAGCTTCTTGAGAGCTAGATTTGAAATGCTAAATTGTACATGCAAGTATGTATTTTGAGCCATCGAGTGACGGCATGTTGAGTTACTGGCCTGGGGATTCTCCCGCCGTCTCAACAGAACGTCCTAAACGACCCGTTCAAATGTCGATTTAAAATGGAACCTCGGCGCTGAGAGCCGGCTGGGTCTGCAGCTCTGAGGACAGCTAGTCCACCTTCTTGCTGCGCGGTCGCAGCATGTCCAGCAGGCAGCTGCAGGCAGAGCCGCTGTGCTGCGAGAGCAACGTGAGGAGCTTTCCATGGAGGAGCGTCAGCAGGGTCTGGTGGCCCGTCGCCCACACCCGGTACCAAGGCCCGTAAAAGGGATCGGACACGGCCGGACACAGCATGTTGTTCAGGTTGACCTCCGTCGCCTGCAGCAGAGCGGGGAACAGGTCATTTTCATGTTAATAGCAATTTCTAAAGTATTATCCACTTGGATGAAGTTCTGGCAAATGTCATGGTCCACTTAACTGTGCATATCTTTCTAAATCATTAATTTCCCCTGGATTTCTGGAGCAGAAATCCTTCCCACAAATGGAATGAGTGATGAGTTCACCGCCTGGAAGTCCTCTATAACTTATCATTAGTCTGCAGAAACTCATTTAGGGGCCAAATGATTTCACATCTTGTTAGCGCTGCACATTTTCTGACCTTTTTTTCCTATTGCTTGGTTAACTTTATAGCTGAAGACAATTATTTCCCACATTTAAATTTATCTTTAATTATTTCTTCTGATTTTATCACTTGAGTTTAAATATATTTTATTCTTTTGCTACATAAAGCCCCCAGAATTGATTGATAAAAATAAATGTTAGGCTGTCTGGTTTGGAATTCAAATTATTAACTCTGTCTCGTAATCAACCAAGGTTTCTCCTTTTAGATTCTCTCAGTTAACATGTGGATCTTTCTGTGTTTTAGTTTTTAGTATAAAAATGGATTGAATTCATCAACAGCACCTGAATAGCTGTGATCAGAAGTCCGTAACCTTAACTTCAGAGATCCACCATTGTTTATCTCCCCTTTATCATTCTGAAACAGATCCAACTAAATATCAGCAGCAAATACCTGGAACTGAATAATAATTTCCTTCCAGAACTCTTACGATTATTCATGACCAAATTCTTGCTTTGAAATCTGCTTTTGGATTTCCATCATTTACAGCATTTTTTTGTTGACTTGCTGAAATGAATCCCCTCCAGAAAAAAAGCTTTTGGTGAGCTCCCAGCAGTTCATTCTGCATACCGAAGTACCAGCTGTGAGCCTGCAGGGGGCTCTGTCTTACCAGGCCAAGGACCTGCAGGAAGGTGAAATGGTAGAAGAACAGGATGCCGTTGGCCAGCACCGTCCACCTTGTGTCCCTCAGCGGTTCGGGTCGGTACACACCTGCAGACAGAAGAAATCATGCATCTGGATGACCAACCCTGGAAGCACTAAAGATCAGGGAGGAGTGTCTGTGCTTCCCTGTTACACTGTATAGTAGTGTAACACCAGAGGAAGAGGTCAGCTAACAGAATCATATTATAAGTTAAAGGATTTTCCCTTCAAGTAAAGAATGACTGGTAAACACATGGCCTCTACATTTATAATTACTTTAACAGCGTTCTTAAACTGCTACCACCACAAGCTGTTAAACTGCTGTTCTGCCATTTACTGCCTTGTATTTTTGCTTTTAAAAATACTTTTGTTTATATCCCAGGGTCATTATGTATTATTTCCTCCTAGAACAGATAATTCACTTTAAACCAAAAGAACTGATTCAGTTGATAAGAGTTTTCTCTTAAGGAGGAACAGCAATGTTTCTGCTGCAGAGGCTGGATGGACTGCTGGCCATATCTAGAAATAGTGAAGCCATCAACCTCTGCAATGCAATTACTGATGTGTTTAGCCTCAACAGAACAGAGTCTGCATCCTGTTGCTATAACAACTGGAGAAACAAAAACATCTTTTTTTTTAACCACAGAGAGGAGCAATATGCAAAATCTAAAAGGCTTTGATCTTTAACTGATTATACAGACAGCAGGCAAATTACACAGGTCAGCAATCTGTAATCAGATGCTTGTTTACAATAAACATAACGCTGACGTAAGCCGGAACCTGTGAGCTCAGAGTGACAACAAGCTCCTGCAGCATGGCCCAGCGAAAAGGATGTCTGCCATGGCGTAATCCTGGCTCTGCTTGTGTCTGCATGAAGACAGACCACACACTAACACCTACCTCCTTTCCTCATAAGGTAAACAGGCACCAAGTACATCATGGAGTGTTGGATGTAGTAGATCTCCTTCTCAAAGGGAAGCTGAGGAGCAAACAGAAACACGCTTTAAACTTCTCAAATTACAGCAACACTTCATAGATTTTAAACCAGCCGTGCAGCTGAACCAGGGGTGAGATCAGATATGGCCGCACACCAAAACAAAAACACGCAAATAAGCTCTCTGAAGCCATACTTCCTCGCTCGGGAATGTGATGAAAACAGGACCTATCTGCTTTACATAAACGTCTGTGATGCTAACGGCAGTCGATTTGCATGGAAGTGGAAGTTCAAACTATGGAAGCCTCTTTTCACAAACAGATCCTCATTAGCTGAAAAGACAGAAGCTGAAAAAAACGGTTAAACTATTAATGCACATCCGTCTGACTGGAGTCTCATTTTACCTGGAACATCAAATCAACACGTTTACAGTTTGAATCGGATGCTTCTTCAATTGTGAAAAACCACCCCTCCCATACCATGATACTGCAACTAGCTTTACATCTCTTAAAAATCACACAAAAGTACGAAGTAAGCGCTATAAATGTATAAATCATGGCTCTGAAGTTGTGTTTTTTTTTTGACAGTAGTGAACAAAGTACTCAACAGTTGTACTTGAGTAAAAGTATTGATACTCATTGTCAAATCTTACTCAACTACAAATAAAAGTTACTCTATCAAGTTAAAGCATTAAAGTACTCACTTTTTAAAATAGTAAAAGTATTCAAAAGTACATGCATTTAAAAGAAATTCAGCATTCAAAAATAATAATTAAATATTCTAACATCAGTACATTTCTGTATAATTTCCAGAGTCATTTTAAAGAATCTTGTAACTTTTAGAAACCAACTGATGTATTGATGCGTAGAACCAGATTCCACACCTCCTGGAAAGAACTACAGCATAAAAATGCCACAAATATAAGGACAGCTATTTTGATTATTTTTTCTTAAAGGAATGGTACACCCAAAACATGATTAGCCTTCATTTTCTACTCACCCCCATGCTGAACAACACTCTGGAGTACTTTTTTGATATCTCAAATGCATCTGGAGATCTGGGAGGCTTCTTGCTGTCTGCTGACATTCAAATAATGGAGGTCTATGGCGCCCGAGACAGAAAGGTCCATAAAAGTCCACAAAAAACGTGTCAATATTCCTCCATACTGCTCGTCCAATGTAATCCAAGTGTCCTGAGTGGGTAGCATCCAGAATTTACTCGAAACGAAGTCATTTAGAATGTTTTTACAGCATAAACAGTAGTGTAAAGGATTTCCTGAAAGCGCGCACATGCGCGATCTTGACGCTACGGAAGCCGGCAGACCAAACCAGATGAAAGTGCGCATTCAGCGTCTGCTCTGCTGATAATGCAAGCGTAGAAGAAGAAATGTGCTGTTTACCTGTGCAAAGAAAGAAACAACGAAAGAAAAATGTCTGAGGACTTCAGTGTTGAGGAAGAGCATGAGTTCTTTGCCGAGCTGAATGCGCACTTTCATCTGGTTTGGTCTGCCGCGGTTTCCGTAGAGTCATGAACTCGCAGGCGCGGGCTTTTAGGAAATTCTATACACTACTGTTTATGCTCTAAAAACATTCTAAATGACTTCGTTTCGAGTAAATTATGGACGCTTCCCACTCAGGACACTTGGAATACATTGGACGAGCAGTATGGAGGAATATTGACACGTTTTTTGTGGACTTTTATGGACCTTTCTGCCTCGGGCACCAGACACCTCCATTATTTGAATATCAGCAGACAGCAAGAAGCCTCCCAGATCTCCAGATGCATTTGAGATATCAAAAAAGTACTCCAGAGTGTTGTTCAGCATGGGGGTGAGTAGAAAATGAAGGCTAATCATGTTTTGGCTGTACTATTCCTTTAATTAAAACAAAGAAAAGAGTCTTGACTCTCCTCGTCATATTTAATAGAGGTTTAATGTTGAATCTATTACAGAAAAGAAACTAAAACTCTGCTTTGAGAACTCATCTGACTGAACAACTTGGCCACCAGGCAACAACAAATGCCTTAAGAAAATTTGTATACTACGGTAGTAATAATATCTGCCCTGAGTTTCTCACTTCTGTTGAATATCATGCAAATCTCTAAAACAGTGGTGTCCAAATTCAGAAATTCAACCCTAGAAAAACAGCAACAGGAAATGACAAAGTGAAGCTCAATCAGTAACTAGCAGCTTAGTAGCAATGTAGTGGAGTAGAAAGTACAATATTTCACTTTGAAATAGTGGAGCGATACTTATACGTACCCCCACTCCAAAAAATAAATTTGCACTCAAGTAAAGATACTCAAGTATAGTAATCAAGTAAATGTACTTTTCCACTTTCCACCACTGCTAGTGGCTAATTCCTGACTTATTATGATTCCCAAATATCAACTAGGCTTTAATTGACATGTACTGTTATTTCTGTTAAAAGCAAAATTAAATTAGGCTTTCCATAAGCACAAACAAAAATGTTATTAACTAATTAATCATAAGTTAATATGACATTTATATTACAGAAATCCAGACTGACACAAGAAAAATATTTATTTTCTATATGTTTAACAAAGATCTATTTTCCCCACAATTAATTGCATTCAAAATAAAAAGGTAGAAATGAAATAATGTGAGAATTTGATACTTTATAGAAAATAAACAATGAAACTGATGGTATTCTACTTTCATGTTATTGTTGCTTTGACAGCAAAAACCTCTGAAAGCCAACTTTTTCTGCTTCCTTGAAGCTGTAATTTGTGACTTCTCACATTACTGTTCATACATTAGAAGGTTTTGAAACGCATGAGAGGAAATAACATGAAATATCACCGTGAACTTTTACTCACCAGCCTGGTGTTGACGACAGGGAACATTAACGCCAGCAGTGCTCCATTCAACATGTGGACATGCAGCCTGGAAAGATGAATGAAAGGAGGATACAGGAATTCAAATCTTACTATTCCACTGAGTTTCTATGAAACTGACATTTAAATTTCAAGTGGTTTTATAAGCTGGGAGCAGAAAGGAAAGACATATTTAGTAGTTTGTTCCGATTTAGATCAGATTCTGATGAGTGTTTGTTAAATGTCAGATATCCAGTAGTTGAGCCTTTGGAGAACACGGATTCTTCTGACAAACGTTTCCTTTAATCACGTTAATAAACAGGAGCTGAACGAAACGGCCTTTAAAGCCAGAGGCTTGTGTCAAATCACAGTGCGACACGCAAACTGCTCTTTTTTACCCAATGAGCCAAAATAACTGTTGTGACAGTTAAGGTCATTGGGAAAACAGCAGAGCTGTAGGACTGTCACTTCTAATATGGCCAGCTGCCACTCTGAACGGCCTCAGGACCTTTTCTTTTTAAGAAACAGCGGATTTCATTCCAACTTAAACACTGTTTCCGTCTTCGTAATATAAAACAGGCAGCATCAGAAAAACAAGACTTTCCATGTAACCAGATCTCTCTTTTATTCCACTGTACCAATAGATAAACAAGCTGATTTGTGCAGCATATTTAAACCACAGCTCTGCATGTACAAATTAGGGCTGAAACAATCTGATTAATCATGATTAATTGATTATTGAAATAATCGCCAACTAATTTAGTAATCGATTAGTCGTTAACTAGAGTAGAGACTCTAAAACATGCCTTTAGCTGAGAGAGCGACCCACTTTAAGCCGCAATTAGACCAAAATTGTAAAAAAAAAAAAAAAAAAATGTTGCATTTAAGAGAAAAATATTATTTATATGGTGTATTATTAAAAATAATACGCCATGCTTAACATTTGTAAGCATGGTTTAAGTGCATGATGCTTAGCATTGTAAGGTTGTTGTCTGATGATGTTATTGGATAACATTTTATTTCAGAACATGAATGCAAGATACTTGGACAAAAACACTGATGCGGTCCTTTGGGACTATGACATCACCACATTAATATAGCATTGAGGACTGTGTTGGCTTAAATATTTACAGAAAACAAAATCTAAAGGTCTGAATGTTGTTTGACTAAAAGCAATAAAAACCTTTGGTGCAGACTATCACAAAGTTTTATTGTTTTTAACCATCTCTACCTGAAGTAAGTCCATATTTTTACCAACTGCATGTTTTTTACGCCATACTGGCTGCATAAAGGGCGGATTATACTTCTGCAACCGCACACATCAAATGTCGCATGGGTCTGGCTGCGAACCAGTTTTGATGGTTTGCTTCTGCAACGTCGGTCTGGAATTTCTAGGGACACAGCAGTTTCCCGCCAAAAGCGCAAGGGGTAGCCTATTTGAGAACTTCGGCGGATGGTCACGAAAACTTTCTCGGTGGTGCCTGCGGGAGTGTTTATCTTCCCAAACAACAACGGTCCATCTGGAAGATATCACGGTCACTGAGATGGATCTAGAGTATCCATTGTTGTTATTCCTCGGTTTTTAAAAATGGCGCGCCCCGACACCGAAATGAGAAGAACGACCACACAGACAGCCGGAAAGGCATACCAAAGACCAATCACAGCTGCTTTTTGTCTGCGCAATTCTGCTTGAGGTCTGCACGGGTTTGGGAGCATCCAACGTGTAGTCTGGATTTTTCTGAGGTGTGCGAGGATGGATGCAGATCCTCTGCGCTGGGGGCGTGGTCACGCACAGAGACAGATTTGACGGTTGCAGAAGCTATGTGTCAGAAGTATAAATTGGCCTTTATATTCGCCCCATAGATTTAAACCCTCTTCAGTGTGGAAGATGTTACCAGAGGAGAAAGGGTAAAAGGAAGTCATGGTCAGAATTAGTGATACATTTAGGGGGAGACCAGGAAGTACTCCAACTTCTTAAAAAGAAACTAAAATACTGAAAACTGGTCAGGCTGAAAAATGGAAAAACATCCTTCTCAGCTGCAGCACCAGATTTAATATACTCTATGGATCATGTCTGTACTGAACTAGAGTAAGTTTTTTAACTTTACTTCCACTGTTACACTTCTAGAAAAATAAAGCTAATCAGGTTTGGAGGTTGGAGGGGTCCGAGGCGTTAATGTGGCTGTGCTCTGGGCCATGTTATTTGCTTCTTGTTCAGAATGAGGTCAGGGATTTTGCTGTGAATGTAAATGCAGCCATCAGCTGAAACAATCCTGGCAGAAAGACGTCGCCGGGGAGAACTAGCATGGCGAATCCCCCTTCTTTTGGGGTCTGAAGATTGATGGTTTCAATCCCAAGGCGACGCAGTCCACCAAGCCAACAATGTAGCTCTTTATTCACAGGTATGCGTTTGGTTTGCTTCTACCGCATATGGACCAATATAAGTGTCTTTGCACAGAATCTTAAACATGAGAAAAACACAAAGCTCTAAAGAACTATAGTGAGGAAGGGAAACACATCAAGTTTAGCTTTTTTCAAATGAAAGATTTTCTGTAGCAGCTCCTACAAAGATTCACTGCATATAAGTGGAGAACTATGCAGAGTCTGACAGCCGATATTCAGGAGGGCGTCCATGCAGGATGTTACTGTGGCCGGTCTAGATCCGTTTGCCTCCAGCTTCTACTGCTTTACAGAGGTGACCATCTGCCCTAAACGCCACCTGAGTGTAGAACGCCATGAAGGACAGAACACTGACTGCTGTACTTCGACACGATCGTCCCACAGTATTTCAATCTCACCACATGCAATCCTGACATCTGTCGGTTATTTCACAATGGGAAATATTCAGGACGTTTACAACTTTTAGTACTATTGGGATCGTCTTCTTTCTACACATTTCTCTTTACCAAGGTTAATTTTTGCTGCAATTCTGCCTCTTTTTTTTTTTTTTTTTTTTACAAAAACAATGCTGCCATTTGGACCCTATCACTCTGGAAGAGCTGCTGAGCTAATATACGAGAATTTATTATCAGGGCACCTATTACTCACGCACGCAAAACCTTTGACATTTATAAGTGCCATTGACTTTTACAAGACAGTAGTTTGATTAAACCAGGCTCTTGGTCATAAAGTTGCATAGATTCACATTACATACATAAAAAAAAAACACACACACACACACACACATATATATATATATATATATATATATATATATATATATATA